TTCCCTTTCTCTGTCCTGCCGTTCTCACTGCTCCAGTGTTCTTTTGCCATGGTCACTAGAGGGTTATAGCTGCTCCAACATCATATTCTTACTCAGTAACATCCTAAAGCAGGAAAGGAATGGCAGTACCATCCTGTGCATCTGGCCCTCTTATTATACCAAAACAAAACAAAACAAAACATAACAAAAAAAGAAAAGAAAAAGAAAAAAAAGTTTACCCAAAAACACACCATCATGTTTTCCTTTTACTTATTTTTAAGATTTTATTTATTTGACAGAGAGAGAGTAGGCAGAGAGGCAGGCAGAGAGAGGGGAGGAAGCAGGCTCCCTGCCGAGCAGAGAGCCCGATGCAGGGCTCAATCCCAGGACCCTGGGATCATGACCTGAGCGGAAGGCAGAGGCTTTAACCCACTGAGCCACCCAGGCGCCCCTATGCTTCCTCTTTAAAATCTGGATTATTTTAATCACTGATAACAAAGTATGTTATTACAATGACTGGTTCATAGTAACCACAATTTACCCTGGGACTGTGCTCACCTTTTGTGAGCATTTTCCACAGGGTATCTGAATCATACCATGGTTCTGAGGGTAAAGAAGTTGGTTTTGGAAACTGAGGATTGGAAATTGGAGGGGTAGGGAGGAGGATAATTCTTGCTGGAACCACTGTGACTGCATCAACCCTTATCTGATTAAAACCTCATAGAATCAAACATAATTCTGAATCTTCAGGTACTTTAAGTAATCAAACTTGATTTGATGCCAGGCAGTCAGTATTGAATCACATGGAAAAGAGGTTTAAAACAATTCCTCACAGCAACTGAATTTACCAACTTAATCTTCCACTGCTCTTTTCCTTAATTTTGCATCTTTCTGACCTTACCCTTAACAAAAACATCATGTTCGTTCCCATTTCTGTGTCTTTGTACAAACTATTTTGCCTCCCTGAGATGGAGAATATCTTAGGAAAATGTGAAAGTTTGGTGTCAATAATAGATACACTGGCCAATTATAGTGAATCACTTTATGTTTACCCATATCAACACAAATCCTTGAATGTGCCATCTAAATGTCACTTTCCATTACATTATATAAATCTGTCCATTTTATCATTCCTTGTTATGTGATGATTTGTCTTTTTCTTTACTATGCTCCAAATGTATTTTTGGTGAGACCCTGACTAAATAGAAATATTTCTAAGTATCCAAAGAAATGATAATATTCCATGAAAATGGAACTAAAATAGTTCAGTGACATGTTTCCAACATTTTCAACACTAAGGGACCCTTTTATTATGCTTTCCTTTCCATCTGTGTAATTAAATCCATGTGTTGAAAATGTTTTAAATCTATTAGTTCAACTTTATTTACACAGATTATAATCAGCCCCAAGAAAAGGTTATACAACCAAATATATTCTATTATTCATCTGCTGTTTGCTTATATTGTGGATAGTTAGAAAGCCAGAGTTCTCAGGTGTGGAGCCAATCTTTGCTTCTTGGATCCCTTCCACTTAGTGTATCTGGCATTGGGCAGGTCACAGCATCTATGGAGATTTTAATTACCATGTATATGAAACATGGATGAAAATAATTTTCCCACCAAAAAGATCAGGAAACAAGATGATATTTTGACTGTGACTGTTGATCTATTTAACTCAAATACCATTTTGAAGCACCTTATTTAAGTATTGATCTGTTGGAATTCATTCTAGTTGAATCTTCTTGTTGAGTTTTCAATCCATATCTTAAAAAAATTTTTTTTTTTCCTGGTACCTTTATATAATGTAAGAATCTATTTGTGATGGGCTGAATTGTGCCCCTGCATGCAAATTCGTATGTTGAAGCCCTAACTTCCAGTATCTCCGAATATGACTGTACTCAGAGATAGGACCTTTAAAGAGATAAAGGCATTAGGATGCCCTTAATCCAATTTGATTGGTGTCTTTATTCGAAGAAGAAATGAGGACACACAGAAAGACACCAGAGAAAAGCTATGTGAGGACACAGTGTGAATGTGGTCATCTGCAAGCCAAGGAAAGAGGCCTAATAAGAAACCAAAACTGCTGTCACCTTAATCTTGGATCTCTAGCCTCCAGAACTGTGAGAAAATAAATTTCTGCGGTTTAAGTCACCAAGTCAGTAATATTTTGTTATCCCAGCCCTAGCAAATCGATATAATCACCATATCCCAGATTATATTTGAGAATTATCCCTGCCTATTCTCAGTCCCCTCATTAAAATGGAAAGTCAAATTAATGAGGTTTATCAGCTTTATTCAAAACCAATAATCTGTTTATCTCAATCCATCTACATCACAATATAACTGGAATCAAAGCAGGTATTTTGGCATGAGATTTGTATTTGTCACTGAAATACTCAGTAAGATTAAAAAAACAAAAAATAGCAAACTAAGTTGATAGTATATTTTTGTATTTTTGCAGATAAGCATTTAGCTTAGAAACATAAGTTCTCAAGAGCAATACTAAATGATTATTAAAAATTCAAAGGATTTATGAAAAAATATGCTGTTTTACAGCACTTCTTTATTACCTCACTTTATGATGTTACCAAAAATAACTGTTTTATTTACAGCTATTTTCAACTTGCTGTATTTTGTTACTGTGTAAATAAATTGTTGCCAGGATATCTTTACAGTATCTTGGGAAAATGTGAAAGTTAAGTGTCAACAGTTTATACACTGACCAATTATAATAAATCCCATTATATTACTTATTTAAGTATTTCATTATCAACACAGCTCCTGTATTAACTAAACAGAGAAGTGAGTTTAAATGAGCTTTGTAGTGTCAAAATTTTGAGATACTTATTATTCCATTGTAATTAATAATTGATATAACTTAAAGGAAAAAAAAACTCACCATTTTCTCAGTAGAGGAACAAGTCTGTAAAGAAGACAAAATAATTGGACTTTCACAAGGCACCAAAATATCCCTGAGGACTCCACATGTCTGACTTCCATTTGATTTCTTCAATTGCCTTTCTCCTTAAGGATCTTCAACAAAGTCAGTTGCAAACATTGCCAGTTCAGGGTCACTCAGTTCATATTTCTAAATAAGAAACAGTTTCAACAAATCAAACTTTATAGCATGTTAAAACAGAAGAGAGGAAAACAAAAACAAAACAAAGACATTTTCCTATGATATTTAATATATGACCTTAGACAATACCATCTTGATGAATAGGGAGGTCATTACCAAAACAAGGTAACATATAAAATTTAGAATTTATTATATCATTTTGATATTTAAGCCACTACTTATTTTATTCGTTTGCTAGGGCCAACTTAACAAAGTCCCACAAACCGAGCAGCCTAAACACAGAAATGTTTTGTCCCACAGTTCCAGGGGCCAGAAGTCCAAGACCAACATGGTAGTTGGGTTTGTTCCTTTAGAGGAGTGTGAGGGAAAAACCAGTCTCAGTCTCTCCTTGGCCTGTAAATTATTGTCTTCTCTGTATGTCTCCTCACATGTCCTCCCTATATTCATATCTCTCTGTCCACATTTCCCTTTTTTACAAGAACATCAGTCGTATTAGATTAGGGCCTTTCCTAATAACTTAGTAACTTAATGTCCAAATAAATTCACATGATGAGACACAGGGGTTTAGGACTTCAAACATATAAATTTTGGAGGGGACAAATTTAGGGGAGGGGACAAATTCAGCCCATAACACTTACTATGATGCATTACAGACCCACTTCGGAAATTATGAATTGAGATCTTCTCATACATTCAGCTACATTCTAAGAAGTTGAAAATTACTAGATGAGAAACATCTAATTTCAAGGAGATCACAAAATACTTTTAGGAAAGAAAAGCCCTTAGAACATCATTTAATAACAGATAGTAGATAAAGATATGTACATGATGAAAGTCATATAGACATTTTGACTCATCTGCACATATTACCTCCCTTAAGCATGAATAGTTGGCAAATCGAATGTCCACTGCATGATTCTTAATCTCTTCTTTTCAATCATTTTCTACAAGTCCTTTCTTTCCATATGCAATACAATTTATATTATCTAATTGCTTGTAAATTGTTTAAATCTAGGTTTCAAGTTTATCTGCCCTGTTTTCTGCCTTGCCATTTATTCATTCATACAGGCATTTGCACTGATTGAATATTCACTATGTTCTAGCTGGACCAGGGAAAGCATTGATGAATAACGTAGCACACATTATTCTTTTTTTTTTTTTTTCAGTATTTTATTTATTTGTCAGAGAGAGAAAGAGAGAACACAAGCAGGGGAGCAGCAGGCAGAGGGAGAAGTGGACTCCCTGCTGAGCAGGACTCGATCCCGGGACTCTGGGATCATGATCTGAGCCAAAGGCAGATGCTTAACCAACTGAGCCACCCAGGCACCCAGCACTCCCTATTCACAAGATGTCCAGGTCTAGTGGATGAGGAAGAGAAGCAGATGAAATTTGGCTTAAGCATAGGCTTAGAAAGCAGATAAACAACTCTTGCTTGAGGCCTTTAAGAAAGGTTTCACTTAAACTGAATCTAAAAGGAGAATGGAGATTTCATTTGGCAAAGAGCATGAATGTGAGAAGGAAGCATGTGTGGGGTCTGGTGGGGGGGGATTGTGGGGATTAGAATTGGGGAAAAGACAGAGAAATAGGATATATTCAAGTTGGAGAAAATGGTATGCAAGAATGGTTACCTGGGTATGTCCAGGGAGCAGAAGGGAATTTGGCCTGGAAGGAGACTAGGACGCACATGGGAAAATGTGAATGATGGGGCTGGAGAGGAAGAGTAGAGTCAGAGCTTTATAGTTCTTTGAGTTCTTTGGCTCCACACCAAGGGCAGAGTCCAATGCAGGTTCTTTGGTGCCAAATCTTAGCTTTACCCAATTGCAAAAGATATGGCCTACAAATCATGTTTCCTATCAAAGCTTTTTTTAGTTCTTTTTAGATTCCTAGAGGATTAAAAAATACATGAAACAAGAGAGAGTAAACATTTTTTTTTCCCTCAGGGCACCTGGCTGGCTTAGTCAGTAGAGCATGTGACTCTTAATCTCAGGGTTGTGGGTTCGAGTCCCATGTTGGGTGGAGATTGCTTAAAAATTTAATCTTTAAATATATATATATATTTTTTTTTCCTCAAAGTTTCTCATTTTCTTTTTGATTTATCTTGGGACTTTAATGAATGTACTAATTATAACTGGCATCTTGTGTGTGTATACATATATGTATAACACACACATACATATATATATACACACATATATATGTGTATATATATTTTTAATTTTTTTAAGTAAGCTCTACACCCAGTGTGGGGCTTGAACTCACAACCCAAAGGTCAAGAGTCATGTGCCTTACTGACTAAGCCAGCCAGGTGTCCCCAAACCTACATATTTTACATTTATGTAAAATGATAACTTAAATGCAACACAAGAGTTGTAAAATAATATTTAAAAGACAAATCAAGATTTATATTATAATTTTTTTACTCTAATATTATTCATCTGGGGCATATTGGGTAACTGGGTTTTTTCCTAGATTTCCAAATATCTAATCTTAATTTTTTTTTTTTTTTGATAGAACATGTGCCCAGTCTGTTTGACTTAGAGTATTCAACTGTAATCATCTGTAGTCTTGAAAAATATCCTCTAAAAGGTCTATATTAAGTAATACAAATTTATCCAGCAAATATTTATTGGACAAATTTTATGTAGCAGTGTTACTAGACACTGAGGATACAGACTTTATTACATAACAGTGCTGTCTTTTAGGAACAGTCTATAATCTGCTAGGGAAGATAGGCACATAAATATATTATTGTAAAACAGTGAATTAAGTACTTAAAGAACCTGTTCAATCATACTATTTATAAATTAGTTTCTCTTACTTTATCCCTACCTTATAGCCTTCATTCTGTCAGTCCTTTATATTCATTCTTTTAAAATTTTTTTTGTTTCTCCCCAATAACATAGCTATGGGGAGTATTGCAGTGTACTTAAAAATGGAGAGCATCATCTCTGCATAATGAAAATGGAATAAAAACATGCTGGAAAGGGGTGCCTGGGTTAAACTTGCTAAAGAATGACTCTTTTTTTTTTTTAAGATTTTATTTATTTATTTGACAGACAGAGATCACAAGTAGGCAGAGAGGCAAGCACAGAGAGGGAGGGGGAGGAAGGCTCCCTGCTGAGCAGGGAGCCCCATGGATGCGGGCCTTGGATGCAGGGCTTGATCCCAGGATCCTGAGATCATGACTTGAGCTGAAGGCCAAGGCTTAACCCACTGAGTCACCCAGGCGCCCCAAGGAACGACTCTTCATCTCAGCTCAGGTCTTCATCTCAGGGTCATGAGTTTGATCCCTGTGTTGGGCTCTGCACTGTGCATGGAGCCTACTTCAAAAAAAAAAAAATACTGAAAAAGGTCAATTACAGCAAATAATTCTTTAAATATAAAATATTATAGAATGTATGTTAGAAACATCCTCCATCAGTATATGTGCACTTCTTTGGATAACATCTTTCCCTCAGTGACCATTGGCTCTAATGTGTTAAGGATGTGAAGGCTCTAACAGTCAAACACTTCAGTGACAGAGATGGCTGCTGTAGTCCTGGTTCACAGGACCTCTTTTTTTTTTTTAACCCAACATGGAGCTTGAACTCACAACTCTGAGATCAAGAGTTGCCTATTCCACTGACTGAGCCAGCCAGGCACCCCTACCTGACTCCTTTTCATCCCTATTCACTCACCAACATTGGCAAAACATTGAGTTCTTCTTCCAACTTCCAAAGAAATAAAATCATACCAAAGTTAGCCACTAATTTTTTGGTCATTGTTCAAAAAATCTACATACAATAACAACAACAACAACATCAACAACAATAATAATAGTGAACAGGATGCACCTCTGGGTAAATCCTCATTAAACATCTTTTTTCTTTTTCTTCTTCAAGTTCCTCCAGCTACAGTGTTTGTTCTCTCCAACACCCCTCCCTATGCAAAGATTCAGTTCCTTCTTCTCTCTCCTCCCTTTTTTTTTTAGTCTTTCCCCAGAACATTATTAAGAAACAGAACAAAGCAAAAAAGAGTATATTAATGTAGTAAAAATGCAAATGGTAGAAAAGATTTCCATTTCATTGACGTCTCTCTCATAGTCCGCAGAAAAGTAATTCACCATATACCTCATTTCCTGGAGAGTAATCATCATTAACACACTATATATCAATTTTGAATTGGCCAAATATGAATAAAAATTTATACGAACACATAATGCATTAAAACATACATAGACAGGAGCTTCGAGTATACATTTTTCTGCACTCTTATAATAATTCTAAAACTAGACACACACCCAGGAGTTCTTTCTATATTAAATTACATAATTAACTTACTCATTTTAATAGTTTTTGGTATTCTACTGTGTAGTTATAATATTATTTTTTAAATTAACCCCCTTTGGATGAATAGTTAGAACATTTAGTCACTTATTGCTTACTTGAGTGCCAGATTCTTTATTGGTTTATATACAGAAAAAAACAAACACAAATCACTTTTTTCAATGAAGTCAATATCCTTCTAAAATCAACTACAATATTTATTTACTATGTTATTTTATTCCATATTTTAAAAAGCATCTTTAATTTTGATGGAGGGGGGCTGGGAAGAAATACATTTTTCTGAATCAAAAAAGCTAGAAACTTTAAACATATTGGTTTTCATCTGCATCAAAGTCAACTCACATTTATTACCTAGGGGGCCAGAATTGATGTTTGCAGATGTTGTTAGAATTTCTTGCCTTTCTAATGTCACTCTAAATAGATTTCAGCCCTTTCTTCCCAAATAGTGATTCATCACTTAATTTGGATTCATAACCCACAAATGGATAAAAAATATAATAAAGAAAATAAAAATAGATAATATATCTTTCATATATTTGTATTTTTCACATAATAACACATACATAGAATATTAAATGTTATGGATGACACATCAAATAGTTCAATGTTTGCATCAAATTTCAAACGCAAATGAAAATATATTCTTTGATACTATAATTGCTTCCATACCAACCAAAGCCAGTCCAGACTTAACAATATATACTTCCATCTGGCTTCCAAATTAAGAGAGTATTGGTTAACTAAAATTTGATCAAGAGAAAAGCTCCTGGATTACTGATAGACTTAAAGACATAAAGTAGAACAGACTCATGAGATGGTGTTCTTTAAATTTCAGGAAAAAATAAAAAGATTAATGATGTACAAATGTTTTTTAGAATGTGAATATGGCCAGAACCCATGTTTTTGTATAAACACTTTTTTTTTTCTATTTTCTATCTTTCTCATGTGTTTTCTTCTACATTTAGTTAGGTGCCATTTGTCTTCCAGTGATACCAAATTTTGTATAAACTTTTTTTTTTTTTCTATTTCCTAACTTTCTCATGAGTTTTCTCCTTCTTCTTCTTTTTTTTTTTTAAGATTTTATTTATTTATCTGACATACAGAGATCACAAGTAGGCAGAGAAGGAGGCAGAGAGAGAGGAGGAAGCAGGCTCCCCACTGAGCAGAGCAGGGAGCCCCATGCGGGGCTCAATCCCAGGATCCCCAGATCATGACCTGAGCTGAAGGCAGAGGCTTTAACCCACTGAGCCACCCAGGCGCCCCTCATGAGTTTTCTTCTAAATTTAGTTAGGTGCCACTTGTCTACCACTCTCTGCATACCTCTAAAGTAGGAGGCATGGGACGCCTGGGTGGCTCAGTTGGTTAAGCAGCTGCCTTCGGCTCAGGTCATGATCCCAGCGTCCTGGGATTGAGTCCCACATTGGGCTCCTTGCTCGTCAGGGAGCCTGCTTCTCCCTCTGCCTCTGCCTGCCATTCTGTCTGCCTGTGCTTGCTCTCTCTCTCTGACAAATAAATAAATAAAATCTTTAAAAAAAATAAATAGGGGCACCCGAGTGGCTCAGTGGGTTAAGCCTCTGCCTTCGGCTCAGGTCATGGTCTCAGGGTCCTGGGATCGAGCTCCACATCAGGCTCTCTGCTCAGCGGGGAGCCTGCTTTCCCCTCTCTCTCTGCCTGCCTCTCTGCATACTTTAATCTCTGTCTATCAAATAAATAAAATCTTTTAAATAAATAAATAAATAAATAAAGTAGGAGGCAATTAGTCTATTGTATTTTAATGACCGATGTTCATTTCTGTTCCCCACTTTCATTAGACCATGAAGGGTATGGATTGTATCATTCACATTTGTGTAATCCACATGGCATTTAATAAATATTTAGGTACTAAATTAAGTAGAAAAAAGTTAAAATTTGTTTTATTGATGTAGGGAAGTTAAAGGACATTGGATAGAAACAATAAGAAAAAAATTTTTTGATTTATGAGAAGACAGCACTTGTAACAGTTGTAGCTAATAAGAGAAAAGACCACTTTGGAGGATGAGTTCCAAATTACTATAGATATCCCATGTAAGAATAAATATCTGTAAGTGGTAAGAGGATTTATTCATCAGATGGAAGTTTAAAATTGACACCTCCAATAATTCTTCCCTCTCAAAGGGTCTATCTCTCAAAACTGCTAAAGCCAATGTATAACTATACAGTGTTTTCAAATGAATCACCTTATATTAATTGCACAAACAAGTTGCCAGTTAAATTGAAAGTGAATTCACTCTATTTTCTTGACAAGGCACCTGAGGCATTAGCTTTTTATATCACATATTGAAACCTGAAAAACTATTGGGGCTAGAATGGTTCTAGAAAGATGACTAGATTCAAAGAATTGTTCCCTTTCTGTTAGGCCAGTCATTCAGCTGAAAGAATATAGAGATGACTGCATTCATGGGTGGTAGGTCATTCAAAGTCCTTGTAACACAGGACAGCTCTCTTGGCACTAAGATGAACATGCTGAGTCCTCACAGGGACAGATGGATTCAGTGACAGCAATACTGCATAGAGGCTTTTATTAATAGCCTTTATTTTTAGCCTAGCATATGCTATTCTTGTATAAATGTTTAATCGTTTTGGAAACTTACTAAGTATTTTATCTCTTATAATATCCTGTTGGAAAAAGTTCCAGTTTAATTATATATTACT